CAGTGACTCCGACGGTGGCGACAAGGACATGTGATAGTGGCATTAAAATTGAATAGTGACATTAAAACTGAGACGATGTCACTAGAGCGATAGTAACTGAAATAGTGACACTGGAACGGTAAAATGGAGAGAGTAAATGGAAAGAAGGAAATGAAGAGAAGTATGACCCGGACGAAATGCATTGAAAATTTAAAATAATACGTAGTATTGAATTAAAAAATCATTAATTGTGATACAGTGCATTATTAGGCATTGTTAAGGTAATGTGACAACGTGTAGTTTTTAAAATTGATTTGGAAGGTAGTTTGGCAACTTGCCGAGTTAAGCGCCGTGAAAATGATTCCAATTATAAGGTCTTTTTTTAATTCGACTCACTTTTATGGAATTGGACTTCCTAATAGTAATACTAGGGTCCTTGACCCATTTAAATATCCTAAACTTTATATAAAAGTTATTTTCACACCATTGTTATGCATTATTTTTTTTAAAAATGTAATTAAATTTATGAGGTTAATTGCATAATTTAGAATAGAAAATTAAAAGTGTTGCATTTGTATAGAGTGAGGGAAACATTATTTATTTCGCAATGAAAGTTTAGAATGTTAATTGTGTCTTCATGAATTCTAAAATATTTTAAATTATGCAATTAACACCATAAATTTACATTTTTGAAAGAAATAAGACTTGACTATGTTGCTAAAATAACTTTTTATATAAACTTTGGGGTATTTAAATTACATATGCAAGTTTGGGATGTTCATCTCACACCCCTTCAAAGTTTGAGATATTTTAAATATTTTTCCCTATAAAAAAGTACTTAACTTGTTACATATTTATTCTATTAAAAAACAAGTTATAGGGAGTAGTGGTGTATGTACTATGGAGGCAGTGGGGGGCCCTACTCAACCCCACCAAGCCCCTATATATGACCTATAATTTTATTAAAAATGTTCAAAATAGGAGTTAAGACATAGGAAAAATTTTAAATTAGGATTAAGAGTGTTTTCTTCCCTAATTATGTAATCCTATTAAAAGAATAAAAGGGCAAAAAAACTCACTCTCAAATTTTATCAAGAATTTCATCTTTGCACACATGTAATTTAAACAGATCTTCTTTTTATGCATATTTGTACATTTATAAATCAAACTAAGTCTAATCAAATAATATTAATAATATGATCTGCTATTTATGAAATGTGTAATTAAATTCTAATTTAAGTTCACCCCGCTACTCTAAAATATTTCTAGATATGCCACTAATTGGGAGCATATACCCCACTCCTGGCGATTTAGATCTGACATGAGTGAAAATGTCAGGTCTATTATGCATATCATTGATTTATGTCTTCTTTTATCTAATTGTAATTTATAAGAGAAAATTGCTCATGATATGATTTAAATCCAAACATAGCATCATATTTTCCTTTAACATGACTAAACATTACATTTCTATCCCAAATTTAATTTAGTTAATTAATATAATAATTAATTGTCCCTTTAGTTTCCTTGCATAACCAAGGTCAATTTGTTAGTGGCAGACCAGTCTGGTGGTGAGGCGAACTCCGACGGCAACAAATGGTGGCGATGGCGTCGAGATTCTGGTAGATCGGTGGAGTAGACCTGGAGAAAAAAAATCGGCAAACGGTGGCGGCGGTCCAGCGATCTGGGGTAACCGCTTCAACCCTATAAGGGTATTAGTGTCCAATCACAAATTAAAAAATCCTATTTATGGAATTTTAAACAATTAATTAGGTCTTAATTTTGGAAAATGGACAAGCTTTGATCCTTTTATTTGGAACAAAGCGGCTTAAATTGATATCAAAGCATTCAACAAGGGAACAAGAAGATAAAAGGACCACTTCCAACCACCGACCCTAAAACCAGACTTAGAGCCAATCACCCAGAAAAAAGCAATATGGCTCGCTGATTCTATAATGGATCTAACTGAGCCTAACATGGTTAGAGTAAACCCTTCATCACCCCAACCTAGTGCAACATTCTGGCAAAAGTAAGCATACATGACAAACAAAACAACATAACGTTCGAAGTAAAAACACAAACAAAAAAATGAGATAGAAATTGTCGTCCAAACCCTAGTCGCACAATTCCTCCATGGCGGCGGTTCTGGGGGGGTCAACATCTCTTCATCTCCCCCCCCCCCCCCCGTACACTCCTGTTCGGAGCCTCTTCCTCGCCCACGACCTCCTCGTCCAGAATCAGCGTCCTCATCACCCTGGGGAATCATGTTATCACATTTGTTGACCATCTCCTCCATAAATTTGTTGTCCTGGTCTTTTACCCCTCCACATAAAGGACGATGTCGTTCCGCCGCTGAAGCTTTTCGAGCTTCTGCAACCACACCGCCGCGCCAGGGGACGGTAAATATCAACACCTTCGGATCCAATGAACAGACTGTTCACCACCGAAAAAACAACTATGATTGACATAGACACGACCGCCGTAAATCAGGTTCCAAAACTCCTTCAAAACCTGGACTGCTCTGTTACGCCACCGTTCCCTAACAGTCCATCGACCTGCTTCGTTGCGAGACTATAGGGAGTGAGGTTGACAGAATTGGTCACCCAAAGCAGCCTCGCTTAGTTTTCACCCTCTTGCAGCCGAGCGCCGTCGAAGTTGCGCCGTCGAGGGTGCAAAAGAGACGAGAGCTGCATTTTCTAATGTTATACTTATGGACAAGCTTTGGTCCTATGTGAGGCATTCCCCTAAGGAAAATTTTACAGTGCATATGCTTTGATGAGTGTTTTGGTGCATTCCACATTTGTCAGCATCCGATTGGTAGTTTAATCCACCTAGATTTTTTTTAATTAAAAATACGTTTATCGCAGAGAAGTCCTTCCCCATCCTCAACCTTATCATTTTACGTTAAAAGGAAAATCTTGGTCTAAAAGAAGGCTACGACTCTACGAGAGATATCTTGATCTGTATACGATAATATTGAGGGTCTTTCTATGGTACATGCCTTATTTGCAAGTGTACCGGTGCATTGTAAATTAAGTAAGGCACCATTGAATTTTCCTAATATTGATTATGCATCAAGCTAGGTAAGAGTGTAAGACTATATTAAATAATGAATTACGAAAATTTCATTCACCAGTACTAAGGAAAATTTCATCTATTACATTAAAATACTACTCCCTCCGTCCCTTAAAACTTTGTCAATTTTCCTTTTTCGGATGTTCACTAACTTTGTCACTTTCCCTGTTAAGTTAAAAATTTATGATTTCAGTTAATTCTCTCTCATATGTACAAACCTCAACCACACAATTTTTAATTTATTAATCCTCATGTCAGTCAAACTAGGCAAAGCTTTAAGGAACAGAGGAGTAGCATATATTTTTCACAAAAATAAATAGGAATGAATTAAGAGAATTTCATTCACCAGCACTACGGAAAAAGTAAAGCTTTAAAATTAGGTAATTTGTACATGGTTCACATTTCACAATATATCATCAAGGGGTTTGAACCAAGACAAGCAAGGAATTTCGGCAACTAATTAATGAGAGGGTTTGTTTGGTGATAATAAATTAATAATAAATAAATTGATATATAAATAAAAAGACGTAAACCCCCAAAGAGAGTCCAAAAAAGCTCACCTATAAACTAAGTAGTTAACTCGCTAGTCGGTAGCTACTCGGTCAAGGGCCCAGTAGCGAGTATGATCGATTACTCAGGATTACTCAGTGATTACTCGGTCATATATTAATTAAATAGAATAATATAGGTGCCTGAGATTATAGAAATATAATAATCTTTAAATAATCTTTAAATTGTCTTTAAATGCATAGAAGTGAATAAAAAGATAGAAACCCTATTATCCTAATGATGGAGTAGCAAAAGTCATAAAGCAGTCAATCATCTAATAAGTTGGTCTGATATTAATCTTTGTTGAATCCAAGGTCGTGATTTCCTTCTTCATCCTCCATGTCCCCAAATAGATCTTCTCCGAATAGATCTTTAGTAATCAGATTCCCCACTTATTCTTCCTCTTTCACTTTCGGGTCATCTAAATCGATATCTAGCAGTCTATACACAGACTGAGCAGAGTTCATGACTATAAATTAAAAGATTTTGTGAGTGCGTATTTATCATGAAGGAGAGAAGGGGAGATAATTAGAAATTAGACAAAGGAGAGGGAAATATACGAAAGAGGTGATATCAATTCTGACTAAAGTTCCAATCATACACACCGCCAAAGAAAAATTAATACTCCCTCTGTTCTTTATTAACTGTCTCGCATTCCTTTTTGGGACGTTTTTAATTATTTGTCTCTCTTTCCCTTTTTGGTAAGTTTTTTCAATCAAAATACCTTTATACCCTCACTTTTATTACCATTACCCCTTTCTCTTTCATACTTTTTCATTTACCCCCAACCCACTACACATTTTACACTACCCCTATTATTTTCCTCTTGAAACTCGTGCCAAAGCCTAAGAGGACTCATATTTAAGAACGGAGGGAGTATAAAAATGAAAGCTTAATATGAACGGAACTTAAGAACTAAGAAACTTAGCAGCTTGGAATTCTATAGTAAAAAACTACGGCTACAGTAGTTTGGATAATCACAAGATTGATTCCATTTTTTTAACAATGGGAAACTTAATAACTAAGATTTTTTTTAACAATCGCCGTAGCACTGTAGCACTCACAGCTCCTTGCAGTATCACTGTAGCAGTCGCAGCTCCTCACAATAGCGGTTAGAGCTCCTGGCAGTAGCAGTTGCAGTTCCAAATGATGTAGCAGAAGCTCCAAACGGATGACCAGTAGCGATTAATTTCATAGGTTTTGTTTGCACATGTCTTTTTTTAATACCGTTATACCGAGTAATAGTCGAATACTCGCCAATTTGACTAACTCACCGAGTTGACTAACTCGCCGAGTACTCGGCTAGTAACTTGAAAAATTAACTCGGACCGAGTTAAGGTGCTAGTCTATAAGGTAAGTACTCGGTGAGTAGATAACCCAGCCTGTACAAGAAGTTTCACATACACACAACACTTCCCACCTCTTTCTCTTCTCATCTTCTCTACCCGTTTTGCGCATTTCTTAACCGAACCCAAGTTCCTTCTCAAACTAAAACTCTACAAACCTGGCATCCATCCAACAACAACCTTAAACTACAGAGGATTGATTGATTCATGATATCATCCATCTTAACTCTTCTGCAATATAATCTCTCTCTCTCTCCATGGCAATAAGAGCATCAAAGATTCTCAGAAGATCAATCTTCACATTTCTGCAGAACTACCAGTACTTCACCACCACAGCAGCATTCCTAGCTTTCCCATTTGCAGCCTCACTTCTCCTTTTCCGCTCATCCTTCCTTATCCCCGCCGCCTCATCATCCTCTTTCCTACGGCTAATCCAAGCCCGAATTCACTCTCTTTTCCATGCAGCCGGCTTCCCCCCTTCCTCAATCCTCGAAGCAAAGATCTCCCAGACCATTTCCATTTCTCTTCTTGCAGCCCCTTTCACCATTTCCTCCTATCTCTTCAGCAAAGCCTCAGTAATTCATGCTCTCCGAGATCAAGAACGCCCCAAGAAACCGTCTTTTTCAGGTTTTTTCGAAATTTGCCGCCCGTTAATCCACACCCACCTCTGCAATTCTTTAGTGACCCTCGCTGTAAACTCGACTTGTTTTTCTTTGATGTTCATTGCGGTCAATTTTGCTGACGGATTGGGGTTTTCTTCCTCATTGGGAAGAGACATGGTTCTTTCTGCAACTGGAGCAGTGGGTTTCTCCATAGTTCTTGCCAACAGCTTCATCATCTGCAACCTGGCATTGATCATATCAGGGATGGAGAAAAATGGAGGCATGATTTCAGCTCTCAAGGCGTGCAGTCTGATGGTGAAGGGAAGAAGAAGCTGCATCGTCCCAACAGCACTGTCTTTAGCAGTGCAGGCCAACGCTGCACTGGCTGCAGTTGAGGTTCTGTTCCAATACAGAATTGTGGTTAGGGCTTATGATGATGATGCAGGAAGTGGGGTTTTGTATGTAGCCTTGGAGGGGATGTTTATTGCATATCTCTATGCTGTTCTTCTTGTTATTGACACCATATTTGGCTGCTTTTTCTTCACAGACTGCCGCCTCATAATCCAAGATGAGAAAAGGTTATCGAAGCCTTTCCTTACTGAAATTGATTATCAAGAGTGTAATGATTGTTGAAGATCTTCCCAGACTCTGCTTTTTTTCTCAACCAATTTACTTTCTCATGTTTTCGGGTTGTGATTTGTGGTTCTGGAATACATTTTTTTTTGCACACTGATCGGCCAAGACATTTGGGACTAAGGGTCGATGTTGTTATACTGATCCAACAGACAATTTGTGTCCACAATGTAAATGTTTCTACAAGATTCAATATATACAAAGATAATAACTTGGAGTTATTTCCTTAATATTACTAAATTGGACTGAATTTCAAAAAAATGTGAGTATTTTTAAAAATTGACAAAAAGTGATTAACAAGGTCACATATTTGAAATTAGAAAACATGATGTCACTACAAAAAATTTATGTCATCATGTTCGTTTTTCTTGTCACCGAGAGTTGTCAAAGTCAAAATTTCCACGCCAATTACACCGCCACAGAGACATCGTCATAGTGATGCCGCCACCGGTAACACCACCACAGTGACATGCCGACTAAAACCATAGTGACACCATCAAGCCCACCACCCACACTGTCGTCAGCACCATCCCGCACCCTCCTCAGCCCTACCGCAGCCCCATCCCCGATAGCCATCTACCGTGTCACCGCCGCCGGCCACAGTGACACCGTGACAGTGACACCACGACAGTGACACCGCCATCGGCATCGCCATACCATCAACACGGTCAAATCGTACTGCCCCTTCCCCTCCCAGTATCAAGAATAAACTTAGGTTGTTTTTCATTCCTTTATATTTTGGGCCTTTATTCCTACATTGGGCCTTAGTTTCTTTAAGCATGTAGTATATCTTCTGAACAGTGTAATAGGTAGGGTTAATTTTTCGCATAACAACTTTTCTTCTTCCGCATCCAAAGAGCTCTGCGTTCTTCATACATTGTTCTTCATACTGCGTTTCACATATTCAGAACAATTCTTCAATTTCTACTGTTAATATGGTATCAGATTAGGTTTTGATCCTACAAACGTCTTCGTTTTTCACTTCTTCATCTCGATTTCTATAATCGATTTGTTTCTTCTCTGAATACTTCGATTCCTAACCCTGGTTCTTCCTTCGCAAAACTTTATTGCGATGAATTCGAATGCTTCATTCCCTTTGAATCCTACTGAAGATCCATCTTCTCCTTATTTCTTGCATCCGAGCGATCATGCTGGATTACGTATCATCTCCGAAATGCTTACTGGTGAAAACTTCAATGCCTGGAAGAAGTCTGTCACGATGGCCTTTAGCGTCAAGAACAAGATGGCGTTCATTGATGGCTCAATCACTCAACCGACTCCAGACAATGTTGTTGCTTATTCAGCCTGGTATTGTATCAATGCTCTACTTCTTTCTTGGTTAATTTACTATATTACTCTTGAGATTCGCTCTACTTTCTTATACTTTACCTCTGCTAAAGATCTTTGGGATGAAATCCAGCTTAGGTATAGTAAAAGTGATGGTCCTCGTGTTTTCTACCTAGAAAAACCCTAGGTAATATTTCTCAGGGTACTCAGACTGTTACTGCCTACTATAATGTGTTTAAAGGTCTTTGGGATGAATATGTCAATTTCAAAACACTTCCTTCTTGTTCTTGTGGTTTATGCACCTGTAATATCAATGAGAAATATCAATTACTGGTTCAGAAAGAATCTGTTCAAAAGTTTCTGGTTGGTCTTAATGATTCCTATTCCAATTTAAGGAGTCAAATTCTTCTCCAAACACCTTTTCCTAGCCTTTCTAATGTCTACTCTTTCTTTCTACAAGAAGAGTCTAAAAGAAATCTTCAACATCCACTCAATTATGTTCCCTTTCCTTCTAACAACAACACTCATGATCCTCCTAATGCTGATTCGGTTGCCTTCTTAGTCAAAAACTCTAACAACAAAAAGAAATCTATCATTTGCAATCACTGTGGCTATCAAGGACATTATGCTGATAAATGCTTTCAAGTCATTGGATATCCTCCCAACTGGAAAGGACCAAAAGGGCTCAGAATTGCTCCTGGCTTCAAACAGCCTACACAATCTACTCATTCTACAAAGAATACTCATGCTCATCTAGCCAATACCACCAATGATTCCACCTCTACTGACTTAGATCTCTGTGATCCTACTCTGTATAACAAATTTCTTGAGTTCATGAAAACTCAGAATGATAAATCTGCTTCTGCTAATGTTGTTATGGCTGTCTCACCACATGATCACTCACCTGATGCTTCTTTATTTCTAGGTAATCATTCTGCTTTCTTATCTACTGCTAAATCTTCTACTTGGATTCTTGACACTGGTGCTTCTGACCACATGACTCACAATTTCAGTTTATATAATTCTTCACCTAAACCTATATCTATTAATATTCAATTACCTACTGGTTCTTTCATTAATGCTACTCATATAGGTGATATCACAATCAATAATGATTTTACTCTTCACAATGTATTATATGTTCCTCAGTTTAATTTTAATCTTATATCTATATCTAGTCTTGTTTCACATGAGAATATTTATGTTCACTTTACTTCTAATCATGCTACTTTGCAGGATTTGCTCACCAACAAAATGATTGGCTATGCTGATCTTCAAAGTGGACTTTATATCTACAATACTTCTAAACTTTTTCTTTCCAATAAACTGTCTCTTGTTAATTCTGCTAATATTCAATCTTTAGACAATAAAAATGATGTTTGGCACTATAGACTAGGCCATCTGCCTTTCAACAAACTAAAATCTATTTTTGATTGTACTGCTCATCCTCATATGAATAAAAACATTTGTGATATATGTCATTTTGCTAAACAAAAACGTTTACCTTTTCCTGATAGTACTTCTTATGCTTCTCATGCTTTTGATCTTGTTCATATGGATGTTTGGGGTCCTTTTAGGGTTCAATCTTATTCTGGTTTCAGATATTTTTTAACCATTGTTGATGATCATACTAGATGTACTTGGATTTTTATGATGAAAAACAAATCTGAAGTTAAATTTCATATGATGAATTTTTATAATCTCATTAATACTCAGTTTCATACTAAAATTAAAATTATTAGAACTGATAATGGTACTGAATTTATATTTCCAAATTTTTATAATACTCATGGCATTATTCATCAACTTTCATGTGTTGAAACTCCTCAACAAAATGCTAGAGTTGAAAGGAAACATCAACACATTCTTCAAGTTACTAGATCTCTTTTATTTCAATCTTGTTTGCCTCTTATTTTTTGGTCTGATTGTATTCTCACCGATGTTCATATCATAAACAGATTACCTACTGCTATTCTTAATAATAAATCTCCTTATGAATTGTTATATAATCAAGTTCCTGATTACTCCCATTTAAGAGTTTTTGGATCTCTTGTGTATGCTTCTACTTTAAATGCTGATAGATCAAAGTTTGATAAAAGAGCTGTCAAATGTATTTTTGTTGGTTATCCTTTAGGTTCTAAAGGTTATAAACTTTATGATATTGCCAATCATAAATTTCTTATATCCAGAAATGTTAAATTTTATGAAATGATTTTTCCTTATAAAAACAATTCTGATTTGTCTAACTCTACTCATTCTGATAACATTTTTTTTGAAACTAATGATCTCTCTTCATATAACTACAATATACACTCAAATGTCTCTACAGATTACTTACAAAATCAAATTAATGAGGAAATTAATCTTAACAATTCCCATGATTCTACCAATTTCAATGATTCTAGTACTCTACAGACTAATCCTTCTATTCCAGAAGATCAATCTCACAGAAAATCAACAAGGGTAAGATCTTTACCTATTCATCTTCAAGACTACACTTATGATTTACCTAATTCTATCACTGCAGGTACTTCCCAATCCTCTTCTTCTTGTAATTTAGTTAGATATCCTATTGAAAATTATATCACCTATAATAGATTAAGTACTTCTCATTCTTGCTTTATTGCTGCTCTCTCTAAAATTACTGAACCCAAAACATACAAACAAGCTGTCAAATTTCCTGAATGGCAAAATGCCATGTTAACAGAAATTCAAGCTCTTGAAAAGAATAAAACTTGGATTTTAGTTACTCCACCTTCAAATCAAAATATAATAGGCTGTAAATGATTTTTTAAAACTAAACTAAAACCTGATGGTTCTTTAGACAGATATAAAGCAAGATTAGTTGCTAAAGGTTATACTCAAGAAGAAGGTTTTGATTATTTTGATACTTTCTCTCCTGTTGTCAAAATTACTACTGTTAGAATTATTTTAGCTATTGCTAGTGCTAAAAACTGGTTTTTACATCAATTGGATGTAAACAATGCCTTTTTACATGGTGATTTAAATGAGGATATTTTTATGCAGCCTCCTCCAGGATATTTAGCTGCTACTGATAACAGGGTCTGTAAACTCACTAAAAGCCTTTATGGTCTTAAGCACACTTCTAGCAATGGTTCTGTAAGCTTTCTGATTCTCTAAAATCTTTTGGTTACATGCAATCTAAAGCTGATTTTTCATTATTTACTAAATCTAATAACAATTCTTTTACTGCTCTTCTAATATATGTAGATGATATAATTCTTGCTGGAAATAACATGGATGAAATCAATGCTGTAAAAACCTTTTTAAATAAAAAATTTACTATTAAAGATATAGGTGAACTAAAATATATCCTAGGTATTGAAGTGGCCAGATCTGATAAAGGTCTAAATCTTTGCCAGAGAAAATATACTCTTGATATTCTTAATGAATATGGTTATTTACAGTCTAAACCTTATACTACTCCAATGGATCCAAAATTAAAATTTTCTAAAAAGGAAGGTACTGTTTTGAATGATCCTAAACCTTATAGAACATTAATTGGCAAATTATTATACCTAACTGTTACTAGACCTGATATTGCTTATAGTGTTCAAGTTCTTAGTCAATTTCTTTCTTCACCAACTGATATTCATATGAGTGCAGCTCATAGAATTCTAAGGTATCTTAAGAACTCTCCAGGTAAAGGTCTCTTTTATTCATCTATTTCTGATTTTTGTATTCAAGGCTATACTGATTCTGACTGGGCTGCTTGTATAGACACTAGAAGAAGTGTTTCTGGTTATGCTTTTTATCTTGGTAACTCTTTAATTTCATGGAAATGTAAAAAACAAGTAGTAAGTAGATCTTCTACTGAAGCTGAGTATAGAGCTGCTGCCAATGCAGTTTGTGAAGCTCAGTGGTTATACTATATTCTTTGTGATTTACATATTCAGTTTACTTTACCCATTACTATTCATAC